TTAAATCAAGGCAGTAAGGGCGCTAAATTCTTTGGCCGTTCGTTCCGTTAGGTTATCCTCATATGTGTTTACCAGCTCCGCAGCTTTCACAAAATAGAAATTTTTCGACTTACTAGCGCAATATGGTTCCAATAAATGGAAATCCAAACATCTTCTGACTAGGCAAAGGCAGATCAAATATATTATGCCTGTACTTCCAACATCTATGCAGCTTAAACATGGCATTCTATAATTATTTTAATATATTATGTTGGAGCCAAGACATCTACGGCGTGAATGTGTCCAGATATAAATATTCCAATATATTTTGTAAGAAATTAAAAAACCTTTGTTAGAAACGAGCCATAGATAATTATTCAAATGTATACGTCTTGACCGCCCCTTTGTTAGAGTTCTGAACATACAGAATGTGGCGTTGTACTTATTTCAAATATATTTTATACGTCCTCAAAGATCTCCGGCCTAAACATAGCCTTTTATAAAATATTCGGATCTCCTGAAGTATGCGCACCAAGATGGCGCACAACCTGAACTCAGATTGTGTACCAGGTTAGGGTTCAGGTTATGCGACTTTTGTTGCGCATACTTCAGGAGTACCAAATATTCAAATATATTATGTACAGTATCAAACATCTACGAACAAACATGGTCGTGTATAAATTTAACAATATATTGTGTAATGCTTCGAAACATCTCTTTATCAAATATGGGCATATATAATTGCTAAATGTGACCTTTATATATTCATTCTATATTTTATTGAATTTCCTACTGGTCTGCAACACCTCTGGCCTGTCAAGCGCTTCAAAATTATCTCCGACCCAAACACGGCCTCATATAAATATTTTAGCATACTAAATACTGGCCAGCAATTGCTCTTGTACAAGCAAGACCGATGATAAATATGGGGTGCTCCCGAAGTATGCGAACCAAGATGGCGGACATCGGAACGTAACATGGGTAACAGGTTAGGGTTAGGCGATAATTTTTTCCAATTTTCCTTATTTTAGTCCTATTATCAGTTCAAAGACTAGCCAAGAGCCTCCCGTAGTATTTATACCTAAAATTATGGCCTAACCCTAACCTAGTACACATTCCGATGTCCGCCATCTTGGTTCGCATACTTCGGGAGCCCCGAATATGGAATATACCCAGATTTTTGTTTCGCTGGTCAAATCTCCTGCGCTTAGTAAAATGACAGTGAGAAATTGGTTATCGGTAGCTTTATAATCCCATGGCATGCTCCTTATACGTGTGGGGCTTAAGGTGATGTGGCCTTATTCATGGTTGGATATCAAGGTCTCTGCCAAGTAAATATAATAATAAGAGGAATGTCTCGTCTGGTAGAATCTGTGAGCTGATATAATCCACCCCTTGTCACTCAAGGGACGAGAGACAAAGCACGCTCTTATTTTAAACAAAATATTTGTTTTTCCTCGCCCCGTCTGACATTGGAATGTTCGATTCTCGAAGTAGTTCGGGATTCGGAATTTGAGATATAAAATGCGCGCGATGGATGGTCTGGTAGCTAAAACGTTGGACTTAACTGTGCTGGCATTGTCAATTGAAGATATAGGGTGTAAATCTCGTGCCCACAACTTCACTCAAAACGTAGTAAAAATTGTGCGGGCAATGGCAAAGGGGGAAGTTGCCGTTCTTCCAAAAATTGTAGCACCTGATAATAAAAGAGCCTCAATCGTAGTAGTTTATTTTTGACCTGAAACTTCAATGTGGAAGGACAATGTGAAAATTTGATAATATGACCTCACAATACAAAATAAAAGTAATGATTAAAAAAGATACAATGACGAAGTGACATTGAAAAATGACATCACAATAAAAGGTCATAATGAAATGTGAAATCACAATCTAAAAAACTTAGTAATGATAAAACCTCATATTGAAAATAACATCATTTTAAATGCTGCGGACGCCACTCTTCCTTCTCCGTAATTACATCAATGGTCATCGGTCCATAGTTCAGAATTGCAGAAAAATTTCTGGATATTATTACTCGTTGAACGATTCATCGCTCGACAAAATGTTTTCAATACTTCGGTCAAACATTTAGACCACACACATCTGCCCCTTCTGATCTTGCCCCTCTGAGAAATATTTTTGTTTTATTGTCAATGTGCTATACAAAAAGAGGAATTGCTATGCTAATGTTTTTTTTTCAATAATTGTGGATTCGCCCTCTGTTAGGTGTTTTCCTAATAGTATTGACTTGAACTTCCTAAAATCGCGTCTCGTTCAGTATTTTCTGACAAAAAATGCCGGCGCTCCGGTAATATGTGTACCAAGATGACAAACAACCTGAACCCTAACCTGGTACACATTCTATGTTCAGGTTGTGCGCCATCTTGGTACACTTACTCCGGGAGCGCCAAAATGCCAGCCATATGAGTAGCATTTTAGGGTTCGAATGTAACTGCGGCTCAGAAATGAAAGATTATATAGCGAATCGTTTCCTCTTATCCGGTTACCAGTCCATGCCGGGCGGGTATGGCAATATTCGTATCAATGTATGGACTTGGTGGAGGAAGCCGTTACTGACCAATGGTTGAGTAAACCACCCTACGGCGGCGCGGAGTCCCGCAATCTTCTCGCACATAATTATTCACTTTGAGATTCGGATCCACGTACGCTAACCAGAATGCGATGACAAGTGTATGTCTAACGCTTTGCACGATGCGCTATTTGCCATGGGCGGATTAACCCCCGAAAAAAAATCTTGTTATTTTCTCCCGGTGCAAAAATATCCCAATAAATAATACAAAAAAAAATTTATTACTCGCAATTGTCATGGATATTTATGTCTAAGCTTAGAGTTTTTATCTTTTTTAATCCGGTGGAAAGGAGAGGGACCAGAGGTGATACACCTAGCGTTTTTCTAAAGCTTAACACAGTGCGCAAGGACCATATGGGCAGTTATTGATTACAATCGAATTGTAAAAGATTGCGTAACCAAACGGCGGTTACGTGAACCACGAAACGTGTTACGGCAAAGAGTTCAGAATGCTTCTGCACACCATCATCTCAGCGTAGTTTGCCCATGTCATAAAATACCACAAGTATAGTAATGGATTAAAGAATAGAGCGCCCTCGCGGCCTTGTTTCAAAATGTTCGTCTGAAACATCGTTAAAAAAGAAGTGTACCACGATCTATAGTATTTCTATACAGTGCCTTCGTTCTCATGTTAATCAGTTTTGACAAAAGATGTTTAAACCATAATCAACCTTGCCTGGTCAAAAGACGTCACAATGCTTGCAGAATATGTTTGAATATTTATAATAGGCAATATTTCAGCCGGAGAGGTTTGCCACAAAGACACAATATATTCGTATAAATTTATGTTTCCTATAGAGGTGTTTAAAACCTTTACTCAATATGATTATATACTCATATAAGGCCATGTTTGGCCGTAGATGTCTGAGGCTCGTGCATGATATATATGATTATTTTATGTAAGGCCATGTTTGAGCCATAGCTCTTGGAAGTACAGACATAATATATTTGGATATGTTTGACCGGCCTTACCTTGTCAGAAGATGTTTTGAACATGTATCTAACGCTCGGCACGATGCAACAACCGCCAACTTTGAGCAGGCCAATCTATAAAATCGGGCCTTTCTCCATGGTGTAAAAATAGCCCCAAAAATAAGACAAAAAGGCTTTAATGCTCGCGATCGTGATAAATATCTCTGTCTAGAGTTTTTAGCTTTTTTAATCCCGCTCTGTCAACTTATGAAGTTGAATTGTAATCCTTTGAATGCCGCTCGGATTTTCCTGTCAACTTGATCGAATCCATTTACATTTCCCAGCTCTTGCGGTTTCGCGATGTTTACTCGCTCTTAGTTATGACTATGAGTAATTGTTTTTTAGTTTGCGTGATTTATATCCCAATATATTAGGATTTGCAGCCTCACTGCATTTAGAAACGCTATTGGCAGCTACATAATTCCTCTGGTATGTTTTTTATACGTTCACAACTTGAGGGGTGCGTATAGAGGCAGGGTTGGGCAAAGTCTTCTGACCACGTGCCGAACATTTTCGCTTATCAGTGCGAATATGGCTCTGTGCTAGCAGCCAAAATTTGAAAAGTATAACGTAGGAAGAAAATTGTATATGCCTACATAGTAGGGTTGCGTTTGTGCAATATTACCTTAATTGTATAGATGCCTGCTTTAGAGTGTCCTGTCTTGGTAGAATCTTACCTTAGGGGTCGGTCGACCTTGTTGACCTTGGAAGTCTTGCCCGTCCCCTTCCGTATACATTTTTATGCTTAATGTTATTGGCGCATGCTTATTGTATTATGTACTTGTATCGGAAATAAATCATTATCTATCTATCTGTATAAAAGTTGTGCTGCCAAAGTAGAGCGGCCGTAAAATTTGCCGGTTATTTCGTAACAAAGCTGGCAACTCTATTCTGCCACCGAGTGTTCCATGATGCGAAATATTCAAGCAACAGAATTTTGACAAATTTACCATAGCATATAGGTTAGGATGGGATTTACATATTTATCCCGGGGGGAGAGGAAAGTCGATAAGACGGCTTATCCATATGGCGAACCACGGCCTCTCGTCCGGTTACCATTCCAAGTCGGGTATGGGATTAGTTAAATTGTTTGTTTTCAGAAGCATGGACTTGGTGGTGGAGGAAGCCGTAACCGACCAGCGGTTACGTGAACCACCCAACGACGGCGAGGAGTCCAGTAATCCTCTCGCATATAACCATCCCTGCATGGGATTCGAACCTGCGAACCCACGCAGAGTAATTAGAGGTGCGGTGGCGAGCGTATTCCTAACGCTTAGCCCGTTGAGCCACACCGCCGCACTTGGTTGTTTGAAACTATGCTCAGAGTCAAGTGTTATTAGTTCAGAATGTGCGCATGTGAACGTGATTGGGTGAGTCCCTAAATGAAAATTATCTAGTCATGGATTATCACTGATAGAATTTGTAATTCAGCATTTTAATGTTCTATTTTATTTTTCAGGATATTGATGCCTTTCTATGATGAAGACACAGGAATGGTTTTTGTTTCTGCCAAAGTATGATTATTTGTTTATAACATATTTAGGTTGAAACAGGTTAAAATAAATCTTTACTTTTTGGTTGTTTGGTTCGGGGAAGCCAGTAGTTTTGTGGCCGTTGCGGGATCGGAGAGAAATTCTGCCTGCCAGCAATTTCAAACCTAAAAATTTAATTGTTAATTTCAAACTTAATTTCAAACAATTTCAATTCAACAAATTCAAAATTAATTTCAAACAATTTCAAACCTAAAAATTCAATTCTTAAATATAAAACAAAGAGAGAGATCTCATCAATTTCTTTCATTTCAGTCTGTTATTTAATTTAGAACTCACTAATTTTATTGATTATTTAAAATGCGTAACTCCCCAACTGATTGTACTGCTTTTCTTGGTATATATGAACTACGTATGTCTGAAGAAGTCTGACCTTGGTCAGACGAAACGTTACAGAAATATATTTGTGTTAGTGTGCAGCAAGACTCTTGAATCACAAAAATTTAAAATTTAAATTCCAAGTTGATAAAAAGTTTAACTTTCCAGACAAGAATTTAGCTCTTGCGGACATCGTTTTTTTAAATTGCAGTGCTGGTAAACTATCATTTTTCAGTTAAAAATTTTACCTCTTAACTTTAACTGAAATTCAACTATGACAGGCAGCCTTATGATGGACAAATTAATACCAGACCCTATTTGTTTATTCTTGCAATTTTTTGTATTAATCTGGTTTTTATATATCACAGGGAGATTCGAATATTTCATTCCTGGAATTCTTCGAAGACAAGAATCCTTCACTTAAGATTGGTGAGTACTTGGGTTTTCCTGCTTCTGTATCTTATGTCCAGAGCTGTTGAATCTGAAAAATTAACATTCTAATTCAAACGCCCTGTCGTTTCAAGACAACTCTGGACCAATAAAATACATCAAAAAAATATCATTGGTAATGTTGCATACTGCTTTCTATAAAATTCAAAATTATTGTGTCGAGTCATTTTATTGGTCAACTTGCAACCTTATGTTGGAACTTGGAAGTGATATGCGTATTCTTTCAACTTGGTACATTAACATGTGTATACTTCTTGTGAACTTTTGTGAACAGTACACCAGTGGTTTCCAACAGGGGTCCCTTGGCCCACCAAAAGGGCCACAGGGCAATTTGAGGGGGCCGCAATTCCAAGTGCAAAACTGATTTTATTTTTTCCTTGACAAGAAAAGTTCTTCCTAGTCTCATTATTTGATAAGGTTATTTCACAGAGTGTTTTCAACTTTGTTGAGCATGAATTGTTTGAACATGATGGGATCAGGAATCTACCAATCAAAATAACGCAATGAATACTACTGGAAAGGCAAACAGGGGGGTCAATGAGAGGTCAAAGCCGCCGAAATGGGCCAAGAGCAGTGTTCCCTCTAAGGTGTGAGCGTGCACACAGTTTTCAGAGGCTGCGCACACGCATAGATTTTCTGCGCACAGACGTATTTCGATGTAATGTAACAATGTTCTCGGTTGACAGGTTGAGAAAGTTTGTTGTTGGCCCACCCATTACCCGGTTAGAACGCCAAAATTTCTTCATTGGTTTTTGCACAAATATTAGTCATTTCCAAAAAAGTGCGCACGCATACTACAAGAGATTAGAGGGAACATTGGCCAAGAGCCATGAAATGTTGGGAACCACTGTAGTATAGAGTGCATTTTTTCAGCTACAAGGCGCGATGTCTTCCCTTCGTTGCCAATATGCAGTAGTTAAGTCCAACGCTTTAACCATTGCCAGGGGAGTAGCCAGGAATTTTCAAAGGAGGGGTTCTGAAATTTCTATTTGCCAAGTTAGACCGTAACAGTTAGCAGGTTTGGAAAACATGGTTTTCAATAGTCTTGAAAGGGTGCTCCCGAAGTATGCGAACCAAGATGGCGGACATCGGAACGTAACATGGGTAACAGGTTAGGGTTAGGCGATAATATTTTTCCAATTTTCCTTATTTTAATCCTATTATCAGTTCGAAGACTAGCCAAGAGCTTCCCGTAGTATTCATACCTAAAATTATGGCCTAACCCTAACCTAGTACACATATTACATTCCGATGTCCGCCATCTTGGTTCGCATACTTCAGGAGCCCGCTTGAAAGCCTAAAAAGCATTTCAAAGTGTTTGAGGCTCTGAAAAGCGTTTGAAGCTACGAAAAATTGCTATATATTATACAGAAAAATGCCTTTTCATTTACATTTTGAATGAGGGGGTTTCCGACCCGCAAATCCATCCCAAGGGGTGCGCCCCTGCACATTGCGTTCACAATGAGAAAAGCAAATCAATTTTGATCATACTTTCATTCAATTTCAGCATCACAGCAATTGCTCTCAAACCAAACGAAAGGAATGTGCATGGTCAGCAAACTCGGAGTGAACGCTGCTGAATGTGAAGTGAATCGCCTGTTTCAGCTTGCTCAGAAGATGTTAGTCCCTGTGCCATGGACTGTGCCAAGAAAAGTAAGATTTTAATATGTTTTTCCTTATTCCATTTTTTACTTGGGATATTATGGGATTTCCCGGGAGGAGGGAAAGCCGACAAGACGGCTTATTCATATGGCGAACCACGGCCTCTCGTCCGGTTACCAGTCCAGGTCGGGTATGGGATTAGTTAGCCAGTTATTTGTTTTCGGACGCATGGACTTGATGGTGAATGAAGCCGATAATCGCCCAGTCCAGCAATCCTCTCGCACGAAAGTGCTCCCGCATGGTATTCGAACCCGCAAACCCCGCAGGGTATTCAAGATGCGTAGCGAGCGCATTCCTATCGCATAGAACGATGCGCCACACTGCCGAGCTAAGGTATATTTTGTTTATAATTTAATAAAATGTTTCATCTTTCTGAAGAAGGCTATAAGCCAGCTGTCTCTGATATGGAGGACTTTAGGAAGGGACTAGAATCTTTTTAATTGAGCATTCCCTACCCAGTATGACAACCTGGGTCCCCCAGATGCCTATTTTTTATTGAAGTGTTCCTTCACTCCGAAGAAGGCTATGAACAAGCATGAAGAAGCAGTGTTCCGAAAACCGGCTTCTTGAAGAGCCCAAGGTCCCAGTTTAGGAAATCCCACTGTAAACAGTATTCTCGTAGTATGTGTACCAGAACTCGTTTAGGCTATAATTTGGTACTCCCGAAGTATGTGAACCAAGATCCAAGAAGGTGGACACCGGAATGTAGTATGAGTACCAGGTTAGGGTTGGGCAATAATTGCAGGAGCAAATACTACGGGGGTCATTTGGCTCGTCTGGAATAAGAAAAATTGGTATAAAATTATGGCCTAACTCTAACCTGGTACACATACTACATTCCAGTGTCCACCATCTTGGTTCACATACTTCGGGAGTACCCATAACTTTGAGTCCTATTACGAGTTCGGAAACTGTCTGTGTTACCCAAGTGAATATACTCCCTGCCCATAGATTTCAGTCCCTTTACACAACTTGATGTATAGTAGGCGAACAAAATTAGTTACCGGTACCTCCATATTGGCACATGCACTTCTGGATCACCCTTTAAACTAATATCGTTTCACTTGGAGTTGGCTTTCCCTGAAATAAATATTGAAATTTTATTATAGCCTTATGTTTAGCATAACCAATTCTAAATTTCTAATCAAAATGCTGAAGACCTAAAATCAAATAATCTTGTTACAGACTCTCCGCGAATTTCCATCAGATCTATTCCCAGATACTGCTTCAGATGAACCAGGCTTAACTGCAAAGCAATGGATTGCCGGGGAGAATGCAAAGGTTAGTATATATATAGTGTTTCCAGTCCCAGGGCAGGAGTTCCCAAACTTTATTGGACGCGGGCCAAAATTTGAATCGGTGTAATGTTTGCGGGCTGGAAGAGTGTAGCGCCCAAAACTGTGTGACGTTTTAGCTGGGGTTCAGTGGATTCACAATCTCTGCCATTTATCCAACGAATGTCTAAAGAGTCTAATTTTCGTCTGTGTTTTGTCATCTCCAAACTTCCTTACATGGTTGATAGCTAAACGAGAATATCGGTCAGAGACTGAACACTTATCGATCGAAAGTTAAGGGATCCCCCAAAAAAGCGCTCTTACTCCGGAGTGACACCTTGTGTCCCATCACTAATTACCGGTTATTAATAACTCGCTAATTATATGACATAATTCATCCAAAATCAATAGGCTTCTGGTCCGACATATGATGAATGCACATGCAAAATCTGGAGCAGATTCAATCTCGCTTTCGTGAGATATCGCGTGCATCTAACAGACAGACAAATACCTATCAACATACTTACCGATTAAAATCGATAAGTCATTACTGCCCTATGCCTCAATTGAATTGTTACGATAAACATGTGCCTAAACTGTGATAATGACGTAACACTTGGCTCTATCTAGGACGCTAATAAGTAGAAACAAAATCTGTTGAACACTATTTCATTTGAGCTCGGCGGGCCATTTTAAATTGTTTTCGGCCCGCGGTTTAGGAACCCCTGTCCTAGAGCAGTGGCCCAAAGTTGATTGACTCCGGGCCAAAATTAAAAGCTGAGAGAGGGAGAGGGAGTTCAAAGAAATGCTGTTTTGTAAAAAACATGTTGGGCTGGGATATTGGTTATACTCAATTTTCCGTTTCATTCAGAGAATCAAAACCAGTCTTGAACCTTCAAAACGAAAACCACTGAGACTTGAATCTACAGAAGCTGAGAAACCTCAGCCAGTGAGCCAAACAAATGGAGACTCCACAGCAGAAATTATCCAGGAGTCAAAACCTGTGGCTAAGGAGCCGATTGCTGCTAAAAATGCAGCCAAGGAGCCGATTGCTGCCAAAAATGCAGCCAAAGAGCCAGAACCTGCACCAAAGCCAAAATATGCTCCATTTGCGGGTAAAAGGAAATTTTTTGAAGATTTCTAGATAAAAAGTGTAAAATTTACAGTACACCCGTAGTATGTGTACCAGGTTGTGCCATATTTTTATTCTGATTTTTCTTATTTTAGTTCTATTACGAGTTTGGGGACTGTGTGTTAGCCAGGTGAATATACTCCTGTCCATAGGTTTCAGTCTCGTTACATAACTCGATGTAAAGTAGGCGAAGAAAATTAGTTACATCCATATTGGTACGCATACTTCTGGAGCGCCAAAATTATTGATGTGTGTTTAAATTTGGAATGCAAGAATTAGCTGTAGGAAGGATTTCTGTGCAAAGTTATGCACTCGTGAACGGTTCGAGAAAAATTAACAAGTCGTGGGTATCTAGTCTCTTAGCACTAGCTTAAAATTGGAGAAAAATGGAGGTAATACCCTTCAAGTGTCTCTTTCCATCTTTAATTACCTAAAATTTGAAATTGATTGGTTCATTATTCGCAAAGAATGATTTCAATGTTTTTACCAGGAGTACGAAAATCCAAATTCCGTCATTGGAAATGTACAATCGGTCATCCATCAAGTCATGTGACTAGAGTTGAGCCAATTAGCTTGAGCATATCAACATCCTCAGACTGTTTGAGGTGCAGCCACCTTTATGCTGCAGTGCCAATGAAAGGACCTGGTGGGCAAATTGCAATTATAAAGGTAAGATTTGGGATTTTTTCAGGATAATATTTTTTGTTTTATGATTCTTTCATTCAAGCAAGGCTTTTTACTGTTAGCAACTGGTAGATGAAAAGCTACTGAAGGATAGGATTTACATATTTATCCTGTGGGAGAGGAAAGCCGATAAGAGGATTTGATCATAGGGCGAGCCACGGCATCTCGTCTGGTTACCAATCCATGTCAAGGAATGGGATTAGTTAGCCAGTCATTTGTATCACATGCATGGACCTAATGGTGGAGGAAGCCACAACCAAACAACGGGTACAAAAACCATCATATGACGATGAGGAGTCCAGCAATCCTCTCGCATACAATTGACCCGCCTGGGATTCCAACCTGGAAACCCGCGCAGGGTAATCAGAGGTGCGGTGGCAAACGTATTTCTAGCGCTTAGCATGATGTACCATACCTCATCTATGTGAAAAGTTATGGCGGCCGCACTGAAATACCAACAGCTACCAAAACTGTATGGAAAATATGGTGGTGCATTCTACATTTACAAGCAGATGAGACTAGGCAATATGAATGTCTCAACAGCTATATTATTTGAAATGAACTCTAGTATGTGTAGCGTATTCCTAACACAGTACTCCCATAGTATGTGTACCGCTGTACCAGGTTAGGGTTCGGATAATAATCAATCCCTTTACACAACTTGATGTGAAATAGGCAATAAAAATTAGTTACTGTCAGATTGGCACACATACTTATGGAGCACCCCTAATACATATCACGATGCACCAGACCACGCGGAAAGGCTGGTATCTTAAGATTGAGAATTGTTTTCTTAATTTATTACACCCTGGGAGGTGATGGACATAAAATTTTGACCTGGGACTTTTAATATACGATATTAACAAAGTTAAATCTAATGCTGGTACCTAACCATTCCCATAAATGGAACCTTATGAAGGTCTTCAAACATGGCCCCCAAAAAATACTCTTTGGCCCTTGGGGTAGCAGAGAGCCCAAGGTGAGTAACCTTAATATGGCCCAGTGGTTCTCAAACTTTCTAAGCCGCCCCCCCCCCCCCTTTTTAGAATTTGTCAAGTCTCGCGCCCTATCTCAATAATGACTAGCAAACAATAAGCTACAAATAACAGATAGTGAGGCGAAAGTATGTTTTATTCAAGAATAAGTTGAAAATACGTGGATGGAAGGTAAATAACCCAAATGAGGGAATGTAAATATCCAAAATAAGTCGAGCAAGATCAAATCTAGTGTTTTTAATTAGCTCCAGGCCCCCTCAAAAATTGTCTATGCCCCCCTTGTGGGGCGTGACCCACCGAGAACCACAGGTACAGAACATACCCAATCTTCTGTATAATTAAATAAAATACACAAATTTTCTCAATTTTTTCAGATTTCCTCCCCAGGAAGAATGACAGAGGATAATTCTCTGACTTTACAAAACTTGAAGACTGTGACTGACCTCCAGTGGAATCCTTTCAACCAATCACAGCTTGCGGTTTCACTCGAAAATTCAAACGTTAAAATTTGGAACATACCGTCCAATAAGTTTGGAGAACTTCTCGAAGAGCCTGATCTTACTTTTAAAGGTAATTAGAAAGTTATCTTAGTCGCTAAAAAAGAAATACAGACCTTTGGCAAATTGCTATTGTTTTGCCCATATTAATTATGCTTACCGGTATATATCTTTTCTTTGATAAATATTAAATTGTGCAGGCGATGACAGGGCATTGATTTAAATGAAAGGCATGAAATAAGTGTCATACAAAAATACTCAAGTATTTCCACATTTCATTTAGACTTCTCTTATATGATTTAATGTTAGACTCTTGCATAGCTGTCACTGCTCGATAATCAGTACTAGTTTATTACGTCTCCTTCCCTGCAATGTAATTTTTCTTCTTTTTACTTCATTTTGTATATATATGTATGTATGTTTATTCGTCTCGTAAAAGCAAAAACACAGGAGTTAGTAAATATCAACATTGAAGACGGGATGTATACACAAGACCATACTGGCCTAAAACACATGAACGTACTGCATACACCCCTTATGATAAGCATAAAATGCAATAAATCGAATAAGTATAATATGGTCCTTCATACAGACAGTTGTGCGAGGAGGGTGGATTAGGCAACATGGGTAACGGTGGAGTATGCCCAACTGTTTGTACAAAGGAGTTGGTAGAACAAGACAACATCAATAAATAGAGACAATACAACATGAAATATAATACATAATATATATACATATACACAGTATGATGACAAAATAAATTATTACCGAATATATTTTTCACTGCATATATGTTTAGGACAACCGGGCAAACCTATGGTTCTCTGCTTCCACCCGCTGGCTGAAAATGTCATCGCATCAGGAGACGTCGAATCAAATATTGTGATCTGGGATGTGAAGACTGGTGACACGGTGAGCATCCGTTCATATACTTAGTGTAGAGCAGTTGGTCCCAACCTTACATGGCTTGTGGATTCCTTCCGGAAGCTTCAAGCACTCATGTGTTCTCTGTTTATCATCTCAATGGTAATTATAGTGATGTTTTGATATGTAGACTCCATATTTCATTATGTTCAAGCAATTCATGCTCAACAAAGTGAAAACACCCTATGAAATAACCTTATCAAGCAATGAAACTAAAAAAAAGGGAGTTTTCTTGTAAAATGAAAAGTAAAATCAGTTTTGGGCCCAGTATCGGGGCTCTCCTCCAACTGCTGGGTGGCCCCCAGTTGGAAACCACTGGTGACCTGGAAACAGAAATCATAAATTATTCTAGTTAACCACACTTCTACAGAAATGAATAGAATTTTTTTATTTTTGTACCCAAAAGTTTTCAGTAATCTTACAGTAATCAGTTGGGGCGGCGGTGTGGCTCATCGTGATAAGCGATAGGAATACGCCCGCCACCGCACCTCTAATTACTCTGCGTGGGTTCGCAGGTTACAATCCCATGCAGGGATGGTTATGTGCAAGAGGATTGCTGGACTCCTCCCTGCCGTAGGGTGGTTCACGTAACCGGTTACGGTTACGCCATCCTCCATCGTCCGGTCCATGCTTCCGAAAACAAGTAATTAACTAATCCCATACCCGACATGAACTTGTAACCGGACGAGAGGCCGGGGTTCGCCATATGAATAAGCCGTCTTATCGGCTTTCCTCTCCCCCGGGATAAATATGTAAATCCTATCCTATCCCAAGTTTATAATTTTCAGTATTTTGAATTATCTTGTGATGCTGGTGAGATAATGAGCATAGCATGGAGTCAAAATGGAAAGTTTATTGCTGCATCAACAAAAGATAAGAAGTTGTTCATTTTTGAACCAAGGAAAAGTAACGAACCGATACAGGTAAGAGATTTTATTCCTACCCCCCATGACATTTTGCACCAATGTTCCGAATTTTACTTGAAATTTCCATTTTGTTTACGAAAAGAAGTATTCAAAATCAAGTATGCCAATGAATTATTTTTCCAGGTAGGACCAGGGCCAGGAAACAGAAGTTCTCGGATTATCTGGGCTTGCAACGATAAGTTTATTGCGGTCTCAGGATTTGACAGGTGGGTCTTGTTGGCGTTCACTAATTTATAAAGGCTATGTCTCTTCCTTTTTTTATCATGAAGGCAGGTTGTGAAAGGAAGGAAGGTGAAAAAGTTCAAGGTTTGGGAGAGGGGAGCCTGTGAGATTACCAAAATGGTCTCTTGCCAAATTGCTAGAATAGGAAACCAGGTAATTGTTCCAGATGCGTGTCTTTCACATCGTAGAAAGCTGTAACAAGTAGATTGTTGCATGAACCACCCGACGATAACTGAGTTTAGCAATCCAGCGGTGCAATGACGATGTATTCCCAAACGCTTGACATGATGCACCAATGTTGATAATAAATGAAGCACAACCAGTGTTAGCAAAACGATATAATTTGCCATGTGGAATAACCTTATCAAGCAATGATACTAAGAAAAAAACCGTTTTGCTAACACCCGTTGTCCTTCATTCATTATCAACATGAGTTTACCTAGTGGCAATCATGCACTATGATGTGCCAATGCCTAAGCCATGGCCTCTTGTTGAATTAACTTGATAGCGGAGAAGGCCATAAGAAACCAACGGTGGTGGAAGCCACACTACAGCGAAAAGAAGCTTGGCTTTCTTCTTGAACATAATTATCTCCATTGGTTTCAAACCTGCGAACTCGGGAATTATATGAGCGATAGCAAGGATGTTTTTATACACTTACAATGATGCTCCAAACGTGCATTCATGTCCTCTCATCTTGTTATAAGTCTGTATATCGGGTATATTGTGAATAGTTGACTAGTTATTGTTTTGGATGTATGTACTTGCTGGAGAAGTGAGACATTTCAACTAACTTTTATATAAACCATGCTACGTCAAGGAGACCAGCAATCCTTTTTCACAAGATTATGCCTGGTTTTTGATATGTTTTGCTGAGATAAATGTAAAATGCCCATTCGAAGCTTATTCAATATTTATTTTTATCAGAAATTGCTTTTTTATCCCTATTTTCACAGATATTTCAGATACCCATGCAGTGGCATCAACAAGTAAATAATAGTTATGGGTTTCTCTTCCCATCCCCCAGCATTAACATAAATTTAATATTTTCTGTAACATAGCAAGTTTTACAAATCACTTACAGTATATGTATTTTTGATGCTCCATTTCTTAAAGTTAACAGATTAATTTCAGGTGAGTTCAGGCAGCTTTTGCATGACAAACCAACCAATTAAAGCAATATTTATAGGTTGGAAACCTCTTGCAATACTTTGAATAACTTCTGTGTTTTTGATTTCTGAAATGTTTTGCCAAAAAGTTTTCAAATATATAAATCACTCACTTCTGAATCTTTGCCGATGGTTGGTCTCAAATTTGATCAATATTTTCTTCTAACAGAAGTTAGTGTCAAATAAGGGGTACTCCTGAAGTATGCGCACCAAGATGTCGCATAACCTGAACCCTAACCTGGTACACAACCTGAGTTCAAAGTTGTGCGCCATCTTGGTGCGCATACTTCAGGAGGTCCGAAAAAGGTTTAACAGCGACCCCATTGAGACTTTGTCGGCCTACCAGAGAGGTCAGGACCCCAAGTTAGACCAGCCCCGCTCTCGAACATGGTCGTCCCACTCAAGCTATCAATGGTGGCATTGAAAGCATGTTTTCGATGCTTAGCACAAGGTTCCACTATGTGGCTTGTTTTCTCTTTAATGATTGCAGCCCCTTTACATTCATTATTCCATTTTTATCAACCATGCATCGCTTTTATGATGATCAGGCAATCCACAGGAACTTGCTGACATAAAAGCTGCCTCAGCCTCGACCTGCTCCTAACCTCTTGCTAAAATTTCCATTTGGAATTTTACTAATTTTGGAGGAAATTTACCCCCAATTTTCCATTGTTCCTAGTTTTCCTAGAACATTTTCTTATAATTTTTATAAAAAAAATGCTGATGGATAATCTGTAGTTTTCCGGTGAATTCCCTCATTTTGAATGACTACCTTTTCAAGATTTTGCCTAAAATGTTTTTGTCATCTATATTAAGTAATGGAATGCCCACAATTATTCTGTATATTTCTTGCTATATCTTTTGGCTCTTCTGACTTTGTGAGTTATACACACACCATAGTATCGTGTGATCGTACATATTTTTTCAGCGCTTATTTGCAGTTTTTGCTCTGAACGGCCATTGATATATCAAATAACTTGTCATCAAATAACTTGTCACGACTTGGCATATCGAGCAAACCAGTGTTGAAATGCGCAATGCGTAGGGTTTGTGATTAGATTGTAAAGGTTTTATTACGGCCTTGTCCGTTTTTGTGTCACCTCTTTGCGGACCGGCGATGGGCCGCGACCCAGTGGTTGCCGACCACTGGGTTATAATATAATTTAGTGTCTCAAAACAAATTTTTTTACATAAAGAATATAATCGCCAATACAGTTGTTTTGGTAATATAATTCAGGGAACGAAGCGTCGCGGGGCGGATTACATTGTTTTCGAAGTTTGGGCCGAAGTTTGCCAACCCCTGATTTAAACCTTACAGGAATAATAGTATCCCAAAATATAATAAGTGACTCTTTTTATTACCTTGTTCAAGGTATATTCTTTAAAAATTAAAAATTACTACGTTTATTTTAGGTCAAGCAACCGTACAATTTCACTACATTCGACCACAGATCTGGCAAGTGGTCCTGTCTCCAGTGAAAACTACACTGCCACGCCCTCTGTAATGATGCCACATTATGATGCTGATAGTTCCACGCTGTTCATTGTTTCAAAGGTAATACTATAAGTATATGTTTTTCGGTGCTCCCGAAGTATGCGAACCAAGATGGCGGACATCGGAACGTAACAGGTTAGGGTTAGGCGATAATTTTTTTCCAATTTTCCTTATTTTAGTCCTATTATCAGTTCGAAGACTAGCCAAGAGCCTCCCGTAGTATTTATACTTAAAATTATGGCCTAACCCTAACCTAGTACACATATTACATTCCGATGTCCGCCATCTTGGTTCGCATACTTCGGGAGCCCCTGTTTTTCTCTTACCAAGGCCCTATGCTTGGTTGACGCATCTTTTTCATCACTTATTCGCAAAACTGTCGATTCGGAGAAATTTAGTTCAATTTTGACTATGAACTTGAGCTATCCACACAATAACTCTTGACTTCTGGTAGACACATTTTGACTTGAATCCAGTTCCGAACCCTGAAAAATCGAATTTTTATGTGTATGCAAGATTTCTTTAGTTGTTTGTACAGAATGCTTAATTAACTTGATGAGCTGGCAATAATTAATGTGTAGGACTACAAGTGGGCAAAAGGCCACACTGACAAATGGACAAATGATGTAAAAAAAACAATATTATTGTTTAGATATCTCAAAGATAGTTTAAAAATAAATTTGAATTCCTTGTGCAGTTGTAAAAGATTTTTGCAACCATCCAGGATGCAGGGGGCCAAAAAAATGCTATAGCAGCTTTCATGTGGCCCAGCATTGCAGTTTGCCCATCCCTAGACTGGGCGGGATATACTGGCCTCGTACAAAAATTGGGTATTCCTGTAGTATGTGTACCAGGTTAGGGCTGTTTGTGTTAGCCAACTGAATTTACCTAGCCAAGTGCCCCCTGCCCATAGGTTTCAGTCCCTTTACACAACTTGATGTAAAATAGGCGAACAAAATTAGTCACCCCATATTGGTACACATACTTCTGGAGCACAAAAAAAATGTGCGACTTGCACCTCCTCTACTGCCTGGTCTTGTAACTGTCGTAACGCGCCTAACAGCCAGTTTTCTCGTAACAAAGTTCTCGTCTTCCGAACAAACATCTGCTCTTACAGATGTGAGTCTGTATTTAATTTAAAATATCAAAACTTTATAGGGTGATGCAACTATTCAATCACTGGAGATCAGTGAAAATGAGCCACCTCATCTTTTCCGTATTGCAACCTTCAGCAATGATGCCCCAGTTCAAGGAATTTCTCTTCTCTCCAAGAAGAATATTGATGTCAAGAAAGTCGAGTTTGCTCAAGGCTGGTGCTTGTCTAAAAATACACTTCAGCCGATGTCATTTACTGTGCCAAGAGTAAAGGTGAACTTTAATCCATTTTCTAAATTGATTCTGCCCTGGCAGAAATGGTGAAAGCTGAATAATCGATTATTCTTAATCCGATGTGATGGCCTAGCAGTCAAATCGTTAAACCAGTGGTTCTTAAACTGGGGGGCGCGCCCCCCTAGGGGGGCGCGAGATGCTCTCAGGGGGGGCGCGAGAGGTCACAAGATGGAATCGGAAATTTACATGTAACGGCTCCTGAAACAGTCTCCGCGTTCGTTAAAAATACCGGCTTTTTCGTGTTATAATAAATTTTTCTGTCTCCTAATAACTACAATAATTCAAGATGTCTCTCTATTTTAAGTCATTTGTGTTCAAGGTAACTCGCGGTTGCGGCGACTTACGACAAAATAAACTCATTACCTATCTAAAATACCACGCCAATCCGCGGACATAATAAAGTGTGATCAACTGCCCGATTATATTTAGTTTTTATATTTATTGCACTCGTTGTCGTCATTAGAAAGATCTGGTATAATATTCCAGAAAGTATATTTAATTTAGTACAATTAAAATACATGTAAAGTATATATATTAGTAGATGAAAAATACATATTCATCGAAACGAAACCCACGCTGTACGGCTTTTGAGTCAGTCCTCGAGATTACACCAGTCGTTAAAAGAGCCGACTTTTTCAACGGATATGTAATGGTTTTTCTGTTGAATAAAATATTCAATCCATGATTGATATACTTATTTAAAATGGTTGCTTTATTTGTTTTGATTTTTATTCTTGCCAATTTCACCAATATGAGCTGTCCCTGCAACTCTTACTCCGCTCTATCGCAATGCCGACACTCGATTAATTTCAAGATATCACAGTTACAGATATTCCAGAGTCTGCGATCCCAAGGAGTAAAAATTTATATCAAGTCTGTGGTTTTAGAAAACTACTGGTGTGCCGCACGCACAAGGAATTTATGAGATTTTCAATGTCCAAGAAAGTGTTTTTAATCTGTCGCGGTCCACCCCAAAACAAAACTATTGGCGTTTTCCGTTTTATTTTTAGTAAATTTTAAGTTACGGGTTCACTTTTTTATTCTATCGTTAGCATCTCGTCGATGATGATTATAATAAAAACTAACTCGTTTTCCTCAGAGGTGTTATGGTTCCATTCGAGAACAAAAAGAGTAATTATAATCGTCTTCGCGGCTCAAGAATATGTCGAGGGAAATTTCGGATTTAGGAAGAATAAACACCGAAATCAAGATTTTTAGGGCTTAAATAACACGCCACGCTGACGTAAACAATGGAGATTTGAACAAAATGCAATCGCAAACGCCTTAGCGACAACAATTGATTGAAATTTTACGTGTCTTATGTAAACGTTTAAGCAGAAAAAAACATTAAAGCATAGGTTTATTGCTTGTTTAGTTTTACTTAATAATTAGATTGACTTTGCCAAGTATTGAAAACTGAGCGGAAAAACGAGAAAGTATGATGACCAACCACTATTTGGCTTTATACATACGACAGTGAATGGCGAAGATGTACTCCGAAGCGTTTTATGCCTAAACAATCTGAGCAATGACGCTATGAGACCAACACTCAGTTATAGCGCCATCCTAATATATAACAACTTGTCCATCACAAAAGCATTTTTTCAAAGCAAAAAGAGGGGGGGCGCGAAGTATGTAAAATTTTTCAAAGGGGGGCGCGGCTCAAAAAGTTTAAGAACCACTGCGTTAAACTAATTGTGTTGGCATTGGCGTTTACGCATCTTTCAAATTCCATGGCTTCTTTTATCAAGTCCATGCTTCTGAAAACAAATAACTAACTAATTCCATACCCAACATGGACTTGTAACTAGACGAGACGCCGTGGTTAGCCATATGATTAGGGAGTCTGATCAGATTTTTTCCATTATGTTTATGTAAAGTTGGAATTAGTGTCATCATGATGACTCTGCAGTGTGGTTCATCGTGCTAAACGTTAGGAATACGCTCGCCACCTATGATTACCATGTGTTACCAGGTTTGAATCCCATGCGGGTTAATTAAGTGCAAGTGGATTGCTGGACTCTTCCACTATCAAGTCCATGCATCTGAAAACGAATAATTAGCTAACTAATACCATACCTGTCATAGACTGGTAACCAGACGATAGACCGTGGTTCGCTATATTCTACTAGATTATCTCCTCCTCCTGGATAAATATGAAAATCTAACCTATTTGTTTCAGATGGAATATTTCCAAGACGATCTTTTCCCTCTGACGTCCGTTACCTGGGAGGCGTCAATGTCAGCATCAGAATGGGTGAACGGAGGAAACAAAACGCAGAGGAAGCTTGATCTGAAGCCATCGACAATGACAAAATGTAGGGACTTAAGTATATTTTTAAGTTGGCAACTCTATTCTGCCATCGAGTGTTCCATGATAGAGAATATTCAAAGCAGATTAAACATATTATGCTAGGATTTACATATTTATCCTGAAGGAGAAAGTCACTAACATGGCTAAATCATGTGTCCTCCCACGACCTCTCATGCAATTATCCAATTATGATGGAGGGAAGTTTTGTGAACCCCGCCCCCTCCCCTGCCCCCAACATGGCGGTGAGGAGCCCAGCAATCCCTTCGCATGTAATTTTCCTTGTGGGTTACTAACCTGCGAATTCACACGAAGCATCAGGGGTGAGATGGCAAGCGTATTCCTAGCGCTTGGCACCATGAGCCACAAGTCGCACCGATTACAAAAAGTAAAAGTGTGTGTCTTGCAAAACACTGGGCTGTATAAATCAATGTTTTATTGAGTACTTGACATGAGAAAAATTTGACATAAACAAACTGAATTACTTCTGAAGACTAGTATTACAATATTTATACTCTGGAAGTAGTGCTTCAGTGGTTTCATCCATCATGCTGTGCCGGAACCCCTGTTGAAGATCACTGAAGATGATCTTACTTTAATTTTTGTTTCCTAATTTTCTCTAGTGAGTGACGCCCCACCAGATGAAGTGAAACCCAAGAAATATGAATCATACGACGTTTCAACTTACAAAACAGACGAAGAAAAGAAAGAAGAGGTAAGTTTTGGTTCAAAGCGGGCCCGTTGTTACTGGATTTACATATTTATACCGGAGAAGAGAAAAGTCGGCATGGTGAACCACTGCCTCTAGTTCGGCTACCAGTTCATGTTGAGTATGAAATTAGTTAGCCAGTTATTTGTTTCAGATGCATTAACTTGAAGGTGAAGGAAGCCGTAACCAACCATCAGTTACAAGACCACCCTACGGCGGCTATGTATGTTTATTCGTCTCGTAAAAGCAATATAAAAGAGTAAGTAATTATAAATACTGAAGACGAGATGTATGCACAAGACCATATTGGCCTAAAACACAAATGTGCGGCATACACCCCTGGTGGTCAAACAGACAGAGTACCGGTACTTGTTTAAGTCAGGGTTGTGGAGTCTGAGTCATGTTTTCATTCCTCGGAGTCTGAAGTCGGAGTATGGAGTAGCTGTTTAAACCAGTGGAACCCAATAAACTGTGGAGTCAAGAGTGGTCATGTTTTCACTCGAGTCTGGGTCAGTGGTAGGGCTGGGCGTTTTCGAATACCTTGTGATTTCAGAATCGAATCGAATAATTTTTTTCGAATCGAATCTTGAATCTCGAATACTTGAAAATTTATAATTGTAAGCGACTTTATTATAGCAATTGGTTCTCTCAACAAATGAATTACTGAAGACATAGAATAAATCACCCAGATGGATTACTGAGCGTTCACACAGAATAACAAACACGTTTTATCAATAACTCAATACAGAAAATAGTCATATGTTAGAATTCCGTTCAAAAAATATGACTCTAATGAGAAAAAAATTGAGGAATTCACCCCGACCATTAGCGGAAAGATAAAAACAAGATGGCGGCGATTCGAAATTTAGCTCTGAACTAATTCGAATAATTTACTATTCGATTCGAAATACTCACCTCTAGGCAGTGGGTCTCAAACTATTTAAGACATTTTCAGAATTTGTCAAGTTTCGCACCCCACCTCAAAAATAACTAGCTAACAATCAGCTACAATTCGAAAGATAGAAAGGCGAAAGTAAGTTTGATTCAAAAAAACGTTGAAAATAAGTGGTTGGAACATTAATATCCAAAATAAAGAAATGTAAATATCCGAAATACGTGCAAGATCAAATCTAACAAAGATTTTTAAATAGCTTCACGCCCACTCAAAAAATTGTCTAAGCCCCCTTTGTAGGGTGCGCCTCATCATTTGAGAACCACTGGTCTGGGTCATACTTTTGAACCCCATGGATTTAGAGTTTCAGACATCACTGGCAAGGAAAGGTCAGAATTGTCCTTAGAAATTTAAAAAGCACTACACTTTAACACGTGGAAGTTTTGGTTATCAAAATTGATGTTCTCGCAGTTCACAGATGGAGCCTAAATTAGCGCACGGCGGTGTTGCGCATCGTTCTAAACGTTAAGAATACGCTCGCCACCTCACCTCTGATTACCCTGCGTGCCTTTGCAGGTTCGAATCCCATGCTGGGATGGTTATGTGCGAGAGGATTACTGGACTCCTCGCCATTGTAGGGTGGTTCACTTAACCGTTCGGCGGTCACGGCTCCTTTCACCATCAAGTCCATGCTTCTGAAAACAAATACCTGGCTAACTAATCCCACACCCAACATGAACTGGTAATCAAACAAGAGGCTGCGGTGTGTCATATGATTAAGCTGTCCTAACGACTTTCCTCTCCCCCGGGATAAATATTTATATCCTTCCCTCCTTTTTCATGTTGTACATTATTCTACATATTTTGTTTTATTCCAGTTACTTGAAGCAATGTCTGGCAAGCTTGATCTTGATAAACAACTGGAACAAGATACAATGGAAGGTGTTGATGAAGATGAATGGGTGAGTTGAAGATATTTTGGTTCGGAATAGGGTTGGGTGTATGCTCCATTTGTATGGCTCTCTCCTTAAATGAATATTGGGTTGCTGTATGAGTAGCAGGTGTGGCGGCGGTTTTGCGGCGGTGTGGCTCATCGTGCTAAGCGTTAGGAATACGCTCGCCACCACATCTCTGAGTACCCTGCGTGGGTTCGCAGGTACGAATTCCATGGAGGTGTGGTTATGTGCGAGAAAATTGCTGGTCTCCTCGCCGTAGGGTTGTTCACGTAACCGCTGGTCGGTTACAGTTTCCTCCACCATCAAGTCCATGCTTTCGAAAACAAATAACTAACTAATCCCATTAATAACTTATACCCGACATGGAAAGGTAACTGGACGAGACGCCGTGGTTCGCCATATGGTTAGGCCGTCTTATCAAATTTCCTCTCCCCCGGAATAAACATGTGAATACTATCTATTTGTGTTCGCAACCAGAGCTAGTACCTGAGCGAAAACAGTTTTTCCATATAATTAAGCTGATTCATCAGCTTTACTCTTCTCATGATAAATATGTGAATCTTGGTTCCTGGTGTATTTCAGGATGACTACTGAAGGAAATCCAGAAAGAATCTATTTCAAAACGAATCACACACCAGAAATCATATCAAATCGCCGTGATAACCATCGTCATAACAGAGATGATATATAAACGTTTTCATCTGTAATTTACATAGATTTCCTTATACTCAGTATATCTTATATAGAACAAGTTGGACACTTAACCTAAAACAACTCTTAACATATATGCCAAGACAGGGGTGTGCAATAGACGGGCCACGGCCCGGCCCCCCAAGTAACTTAGTGTGGCCCGTCTCAACACACAGAATTCAGAAGCATTAAAATCCTTATCCGACCGTTTAAGTTTGAAAAGGCGCTCATATGGATATAAACACGTTGTATTTTGCTCTTGTCTCTGTGTTAAATCTTTCAGCGTCAGGCCTGCTGGGTCATAACTATAATGCTAAGCGATAGCCGGCCGCGCGCTTTCCCACTACGTATTTTGTGTGGCCGGCTAGATGTATGAAGTTAGTTATATGCCCCCTGACCCCTGCCCAAAAAAACACCCCCCCCCCAACAAAAATAGTTACACACCCCCGAGCGCTATTATAATATCAAGAAATGCAGTGAGTCTTTTTTGACAATTACCACTGTAAAGGCATTATTGGTAGGCATGCCTATTGTAATTTCAGTGTTTAATGTCTAACTCCTCTGTCCGAAGTCTGCTGTTATTCAAATTACTCTTATTTCTCATGACTCCTGGATGTCTCGTCCTAATAGGAATTTTTCGTTTTTTTAAGGGTTCGGTCGACATAGTTGACCTTGTAGTCTTGCCCTCTCTATTATATTTTATGATTGTTTTTTTCCATTTATTGGAATTTGTACATTTTTTGATATATTCGGAAAATGAATCATTATCTCTCTCCTATGTAATCTATCGAAATTGTGAGATTTATGTTTAACACTAGTTTACACTAGTAATAATTGTGCTTCGAATTGAAAGTCTAAAAAAGAACAATAAATATGGTACTTTGTGTAAAATTGGTGTACTCTTTGCGACCCCTAAAATTTGTTGCGCTCCTAGTGCTGGGTCGCAACCCCCAGTTTTGGAGGGTGTTTTTCGAAATAATTCTAATCAAGTTACCGTACTAATTTTTGTGTTAAAATATATACTATTTTATGAAATTAATAAAAATAAAAAAGTGCTATGTTCTATTTCATTGAACAGCTATATATGTAGGCTGTATTAAAGATGGGTTAACAGCTGAAGGAAAATCTAATATAAGTATAAGTATAAGTTTATTTCGACTCCATAATCAGCAAAACAATAAAATGAATGCTAAAAATAAAATAAATAAAAACTGATTATGAAATCAGGAGAGCGAACAAAACCTTAGATAAGGTTTAAAACGTACAGAATGTATATAAGATGGAAGGTTTTGCCAAGAAGATGTGGTACGTGTTCACTCACCTAAAATAATTGAAATATTTCACACACGCTCACACGCACCCACACACACAACCATATAGAAGTTATTAAGTAAAGGGAACATGAAAAATTACATACTGTAGTTAATAAAAAATAAATAAATAAAAATTACTTGCCACACACCATATTAATAAATTTATCACGATTGCCACGCCAAATTGATCAATTTTATAAATGGGAGTGAACAGTAAAGATAAACTTTTATAAAAAAATATATTGTCAAGCTGATTATAGGATGGAGTCAAATGCCAAAATGCCCAACCAAAGTTGCCAGAATTGGGTGCATGAAGAGGTGGGCTAGACCACTTCATTGCCAGACTAGAGCCTATTATTGCCAAATTATAGTCCAGATTGCAATAAGTATTTAAATCTATCAGTAACTTTATAAGTATGAGTAATTATAATTAATTAAGGTAGAAAGACAGGGTATAGGAATATGTTGGTTGCTAAGGTTATAAGTTTTTTTTTTTCATTCTTAGATATTGACTTCTGCAAGGATAAAGGAATTAGCAATAAAGGAATTAGTATGTTATTTCACAGGATCATTTCTTCATTTAATTATTGTGGCGTAATAGATGTCAATTCAAGTTTATCGTGGATGAGACATCAGGCCCTGCGAATTTGTTGTTGTAGACACCATTTATATTCAATAAACTAGCCATTGTATTGATCATCACAGAAAGACCTGAAAAACAAAAAATAAATATGCGAGTAGGATATTCAAGGGTTACATATTTGGAAACAGCACTACCCTACACTTTTGTTTAGAATTAATTATTATTTCGAGTAGATATTGATTATTAGTTATCTATCTATAAAACGCTAGTTCAAAGACCAGAGTTGAAATATGGTTGGACACAGGGTGAATTCCTCGCAAACCATGCAGAAACTCTCAAACCACACTGACCATTCGTATGTTGGCCTTCACATCAACTTCACAGCAGAACCTCAACCTAGGATAAAATTTTGTATACACACAAAACAAATCATAGAATACCACAACAAATTAAAAAGAAGGGGAGAATCCAATATATCTCCACTGGTCGCCTAATTACAATAATAGGTACAGGAGCTAAACTATACGGTCTACAACCCTCATAAGGTATCACACCACCCATATAGAAACAAAGACCATGCATGTGTAATGTCAAAAATCCAACGTTAAGCAAAAAGGGAACATGCGCATGCAGATGTCAGAGTGTAAACAGCCATTTGAAAAATAAATAAATAAAATAATTTGCTGTGCATGCTACAGAACCCGACACACCAACAATAGATGTAGAACAGGTGGAGAGAGATTAACTGCCGGCTCAACAACAATCAGCAGCTGCAGGAGCAATAGCAATATTGTAGCTGTTTAATATTTTCATGAAAATAAGTATGTGCAAGTGAAGAGTGTCCCAACTTTCTATCATGGTCATTCATGAAGGTTCAATATTTTTTGTGTCCGAGCTATCAAAACGTTGTAGCTAATTATACGAAAGAGTATATATATCAGTGTGGTTATGGGAAAATAACTTTTAATATTTGGATACCAAGTACGACTTAACTTGTTTCTGAAATGATTTTTTGGATTTTAATGACTTCAAATTCAAGGGGAGAGAGTTCCATAGCTTAGGTCCATTATAGCATAGGGCATGCTGGCTCACAGATTTACTCATAAACGGTATAAATAAATTGGAATTACTTCTTCGATTGGAGGTGGTTTTGGTTAGTATGTCGTCAAAGCAGTTTGACAATGAGTTGTCATGAAAATCATAAACTAATGATAATACTTCAAATTTCATTATGTCTTCAACCTTGAGTATATTTAGCGATTTATAGAAATGATTTACGCTTTCACGTTTACTTTTCCTAAAGACAATTCTTAAAAAATTATTACAAATGCTTTGCAATTTCGAGACAAGTGTTTTATTACCATGGAGCCAGACTGAGCTACAATATCGGATATGACTTAGTAGTAGAGATTGAAACATTGCTAGTAAAGCTGATTGATTAACGCACTGGGATACTTTGCAGCAACTGCCAAGTTCCTTTTTGTTTTACCAATAACATGCACATTTGTGATTTCCATGATAGATTTTCATCAAAGATAACTCCTAGAAATTTTATTTCTTTCACTCTTTCAATTTCATTGTCATTGAGCAGTAGTGGTTTTGAACAACTCACACTTTTATGCTTGCTTGGGTGGAATAATACAAATTTAGTTTTGTTAGCATTAAGAGATAATTTGTTAACCAACATCCAGCTATGAATGTTGGTTAGTTCTTGGTTTGCAACTGTGAGTAGATCTTCAAGGTTTTTCCCATGAAGAATCAAGTCAGTGTCATCAGCAAACATGATCGACTCAGAGGATTTCAGACACCTGGACATGTCATTAATGTAAGCTAGAAAAAATAATGGGCCAAGTAAAGATCCTTGTGGAACTCCGTGCTTCATGACACAAATATTTGTAGAGAATGAGTTGTCATATTGCACAATTTGTTTCCTGTCTTGCAGGTAGCTCCTGATCCAATTGAATGGGACGCCTCTAATTCCATAGTGATAGAGCTTACTTAAAAGGATGGAATGGTCAATGGTGTCGAAAGCTTTTGAAATATCAAGAAATATTCCAATTGCATGTTGTTTGCTTTCAAAGGCCTTGGTCAGTTTGTGTACCAAAACATTAGCAGCCATAGCAGTGGAGTGATGCTTGCGGAAACCAAATTGATGAGAGTGGAAAACATTGTTAGTTTCAAAGAAGTTTGACATTCTACTATACATTATTTTCTCAAGAATCTTAGAAAATGATGGTAAAAGACTAATAGGTCTATAATTTCCAAGATCTGAAACACTACCCTTTTTAAATAGAGGAAGAACTTTAGATGTCTTGAAGCTTTCAATGAATAACCCACTAGATAGTGAAAGATTAAATATATATGTCAGGATGTCAATGATATGTTCTGGAACGTGTTTCAATACTTTGAATGGAATACCATCAATTCCAAAACTTGACTTGGGCTTCATTTCGCGTATAATATTTTTTATTTCTAATGATGTAGTTGGCCTTAAAAACATGGATGAGGATTCTTGCTTTCCAAGATATGAAATGTAATTTTTGTCACAGCCAGCTGGTTGTGGCATACAGTCGAGCAGGGTTTGTGCCACTTGGGAAAAGTGTTCATTAAATTTATTTGCAATTTGTGTATTACTGCAATCGAGTCCAATCAAAGGACAAGAACCTGTTTTATTTTTACCAATAAGTTCATTAATTGTTTTCCACACTGCCTTGATGTTACCTTTGTGAGAGGCAAATTTAGATTTGTAATAATTTGATTTCTTTTTGTAGAGCAATCGAGTATAAAGGTTCCTGCATTCATTGAACTGTAATTTGTGCTTGTCATTTATGTTTTTATTGTTTATTAATTTCTTATAAAGTTTTTGTTTGACTTTGTTTAGTTTACGTAACTCAGTATCATACCAAGGTTTGTTTGATCTGTTTGTTTGTTTTTTGTAAGGAAAAGATTGAGAGTAAGCAGTAGAGAATTTTTCAAAAAATTTTTCAAAGCAAGTGTTGGGATCCTGGATGCTGCTGAAGTCATCAATATCAATAGAATTCAGTTCGTTCATAAAAGTATTCAAGTTGGACGAAGTAAACTGGCGGTAAAGCGTTTCAATTCTGTTCTGAATTTGCTTTTCTAGAAGAGAGCATTGTACAATTGGCAGATGATCAGAAACACATTCTGCTAAAACAGCACTATTAACTTTTTTATCATATACGTTTGTCCAAATGTGGTCTATACAGGTAGCAGAACTTGAAGTTATCCTGGTGGGGCAGTTTATCAGAGAATAATAGGCCAGGTTGTGCATAATATCAACAAATAGGCTGGTATTCATATTGGACTCATCAATAAGATTATAGTTGAAGTCACCCATTATATAATTATAATTCAACTTGTTCATCTTTGAGAGAACTTGGGACAAGAGATTCCGAAAGTTAGCATTGTTCAATTCATCAGTTAGTGGTGATCTATAAATAGTACCGCAGGTTATTGTTTTATTTTCCAATAATATGTCAATAAATATAGATTCGAAAACCTTTTCACACATTATAGTAATATCCTTGCGGACAATGTATTTCAAATCATTTCGAATGTAGAGACCAACACCACCACCTCGGTGATGAGATCTACTGTTAGTGATAAAAACATAGCCATCCAATGTATTGAAATGGCCATTTGTACCAGATACAATCCATGTTTCATTTACAGCAATTACATGAGGCTTACAATCAGTGAATTTCACTAGTGCTTCAAATTTTGTGTAGTTTTTTGAAAGAGGCTAAAGATCTGATATTGAGTGAAAGAGTCATGAAACCACTTAGTTTAAAACTACCATTGAATTTGAGGTCATTGACATCACTAGAGCAAATATACTGATTTGAGCTGTTGTACATTGAAAACACTGTTTATGTTGTTGAATTCATCATTGTTCAAGTATTGGCTGACTCAAGAAACATTTGGTTTAGGTATTCAGGATCAAAAATTTTAGTTAAGTGCCTGGGCTTTCAGCTTTTTCTGAATGAAGGGAAGTACATGATTCTAATAATTCAGAATCAGAGAGAGAAGAGAATGGTATGCAAATCTTTTTCACAAAAGAAACAGCACCAAAGGCATATCATCAGCTTCAGATTGCAGGTTTTCATACTGCTGGTTAGAGTATTGGTGCATTTTAAATGTATC